TTATAATTCTTTCACAGGTCATCCATGTCATGTCATATGTCAGTGCTTCACTGTTGTTTATGGCTGGATAATATTTCGGTGTGTGGATACCTCACATTTTTTTATTCATTCAGCTATCCATTGATAGACAATGGAGTTGTTTTTATTTGGGGCTATTATAAATAATGTTACTATGAATGTGTATGTACAAGCTTTTGGACTGCCTTATATCTTCATTTCCTGGATGTATATGTCTAAGAAAGAATTTGTTGGGTTATATGGCAAGTCTATTTTTAATTTCTCGAGAACCACAAAACTCTTTTCCAAGAAGCTACACCACTTTACATTCCCACCATCAATGGTTCCAATTTCTCTACATCCTTGTTAACATTTGTAATTTTTTTATTGTAGCCATTTTAGTAGGTATGAAGTGATAATTTATTATAGTTTTGGTTTTTCATTTCTCTAATGACATGATATAAGCATTCTTTCATATCTTTATTATCTATCTTGATATCTTCTTTGGATAAATATTTATTCAAATACCTTGCCAGTTTTTAAATTGGGTTATTTTATTTTTGAGTTGTAAACATTCTTTATATATTCTGTATCTTAGACCTTTAGATAAATGTTTACCAATATTTTCTTCCATCTGTGAGCTACCTCTTTACTTTCTTGATAGTATCTTTTGATGCACAAAAGTTTTTAATTTTAAGGAACTGAAGTTTGTGTAGTTTTTCATTTGTTTCTTGTGCCTTTGTGGTTTTTCATATCTAAAAAATTGTCAAATCTAAAATCATAAAGACTTGTCTATGTGTGTTCTAAGCACTTTATAGTTCTTATTATTCCATGTAGATATTTTATCAACTTTGTGTCAATTTTTGTAAATTTTGTCAAATAAGGCTACAGTTTGGTTCTCATATATCTAAATATCCAATCATCCTAGTATTTTTGTTGAAAAGACAACTCTCTTTCATGCTCACGGTGAAGTGCATTGGCACCTTCCCTCCAATATTAACCATTGTCCTATTCCTTTTAGCAGATTCTCACCCATTCTCATGAGTCTTCCAAGATCTTTCTTGCCTTTTGTTATAGCTTTTGAAATCTTTCCCTCTTCTTAGTCCTTTCTAGTGCTAGTGATTGACCTCACATGTACTACAGAGAGCTCCATCATTGAGCTATGTCCATAGCTCTTATACTGCCATTGCTTGTGCTCAGTAATTCTTATACCAAGCAACCAAGTTAAGAAAAACTAGTTATTCATATCCTGCATAGAATGGTTTACCCTTCATGTTTATGTCAGTGTCTCAGAGAATTACAATTAAAACAAACTTATGGAAAATCATGTAAAAATTGTAAGTAAAATATATTTATAATTACGGAGCCCTTATGTAACATTATTTAAATCACAGGTCTAGGGAAAATGGTCATATCAAAGATATGTTCTGTTGATGTTTCTTCTCTATATAAAGGCTCTCAACATCAAAGAAAGAGACAAAGTGAATACTACCCATTATACAAACATGCATCAAATTCCACTATACATTTTGGTCGCTGCACTAGCATCACTGATACTAGGGACTTATCTAGGAATATAAAGAAGTCAGTAAACAAATGTTTATGTCCAAACCCCCAGTAGGTGCACACATGTGACAGGAGAATAGGGAGAAACTAATTTCACCTATAAGTTCCTTAGAGGATAACACTTGTGCTGGTTAGGATGAAGTGTCTAGTTGGTTGGTTCTGAGATTTGCACCAGGAATTAGTGAAGCACACTTACAGGTGTGTCTGAGTGGGTCATGGAGGTATGGCTTTGGGGCCATGTTGGGTCCCTGGTCACTTCTTCTCTCACATGGATCCCCTGTTCTGTTTCTGGATGCCATGAACTAAGCAGCTTTGCTCTGCTATGCCCGTCTGCTATGTTTCTGCCTTGGCACCAGTGGACCATATATGAATCTCCTAAAACGATGAGCCAGATTAAATCTCTCCTCCTTTAAATTGTGAGTGTGGGTATTTCATTGTAGTGATGAGAAAGACGACTACTACAACATGCATTAGAAAACTTCCTGAAAAAATAAAACTTTTCTAAGGAAACATGACGAAAGTGCAAATAATTGCCTGTTCTACTGGAAGGCATACAAGGAGAGACGCATGAGAAGAGACGCCAAGACAGCACCATGGTTTGGTGTAACTAGATGTAAAAAGGAAGAGGAGAGGGATATGTTGGAAAATGAAAACTGAGAGGCAGGTTGAGGTCAAATTATGAACTGAGATAAAACTATGGACTTAATCACTGAGGCCACTGGAAATCATAGAGGGCAGTTAAGTAGGAGATGATCCTGTGCTTAGTGTACATTTTAGTACAATGACCTGTTTCCAGCTCTGAACTGCTATAATAAGACAGGCATTAAATCAGCGATTGCACTTGGGTCCTAGAGCCAGACAAAATCAATTCTGATTCAGTCCTACCATCTAAATAGTTAGGCAATATCAACTAGTAGCTAAGTAGATTATATAATTTCTCAGAACCTTAGTTTCATCTGTAAACTGCAACAGATTTCTTGTGACAATGAGAGAATATAGGTAAAACCTCCAGGAAAATTCTTAGGACATATTACGGGCTCCACAAACGACTGTTATATCAAATGTCTGTGAAGGAATAGACTGCCTTGTCCCTGCAGTCCCTCCACTGCCAAATACGGTGAGGTGACCTTCAGTGAATACTTTGGGATTACACTGTATATTTAAAAGGGCAGTCCAGTAGCATTTGGAAATTTGGGTCTAGAACATAAAAGTGAGTTTGAATGTAGCAACTATTGCCTATAAAGCAGGATATCATCCAAATATAAATGGAAAATGAAGTTTTGATAGTTGTAGAGATTGGACATACACAGCAGATAATAAAAAGAGGTTATTGCAAAAGAGGGAATATTGAGAAAAAGGCAATTTTTAATGGAGCATTTGGAAGCAGATTTTTATGTTTATTATTTTGGAGCACACAGTCTTTAAAAAATTACTAAAACTCTACATCATTTCCCAAGGAAAATACCTGCACATATAGAATGTATTACTCTCAACCCTAGGGGTTTATAGACACTATAAACTCATCTTAAGAACTTCTGATTTAAGAAAGGGTGAAATAATACAGAATAAAAATATGAGTCTTGGAAGGAGAAGACAAGGGGAAAAGTTTATTGGAATATATGTAAACTTGGATTGTATCTGTAGTAAATGTCAGAGAAATAAGGATTATTGCTGGTGAACTGGAGTAGGAAATCAAAGGCAATAATTGTTAAGATTTGGATGGAGACCCTTATTTTTCCATATAATCTAGATCAAACCAAATATCTGGCAACATTAAGTTGGGTAAGGAAAAAATCTTCCTGCAGTGTTGACAACTTTATGGTCAAACATTATATGAATTTCCTCCAAGTACATTACTCAAATTCTGAGAGGAGACATCAACCAAAGCATATTGTATCCACATTTTGTTTCAAATGTACGCTTCTTATCACTATGAAAATGGCAATTGTATGAAATACCCAGAAAAGGATATTTTCTAATTCTCATGTTTATGACAAATTTGATTTAGACATAGTGTTATATAGATATAGTGATAGAAAAACCTTCTGAAGATATTTGTATTTTTTTTTCTTAGTTTTAAAGATGTTTTCCATATTTCACTGTCGCACAATTTTTCCTTCTTTAAAAAGACATGGAAATAAAGAACAAAAGGATATACAGTTATATTCTCTAAGTATTACATGTTGATAAGGAAAGGATATTCTTATTGATTGGATGTCACTCATCTGTTTGGGTGCTAAAATGCTTTAGTAATTAACCAGTTTAATCCACTGTAGGAAGTGCTGACTCATTCATCATATTTTTGGTAGCACAATCATCATAAAGACTACAGATGTGAGGGGCTGGGGAGTTAGCTCAGCGGCACAGTGCTTGCCTGGCAAGCGCGACGTCGTGAGTTCGATTCCCGGTATGGGAAAAAAACAAAAACAAAAACAAAAAAAAGGACTAAAGATGTATCTGATTTTTTTGTGTTCTGCCCCTTAACTTGTCCAAAACTAATTGGTCTACAGCACTGAATTGAGGATGGAGGGACAGGTTAAAGGCAGGTTTGTGTGTGTATCTTCTATATTTCAATAATTGTAAAATTATTTTATTTATTGAGACAAGGTCTCGTTGTGTAGTGCAGGCTGGCATTGGACTTGCTTATGTAGCTTAGGCTGGCCTCAAACTCATAGCGATCCTCCTGCCTCAGCCTTCCAAGTACTGGGATTACAAGCATGCACCACCACACCCAGCTAGAATCATTTATTGTAAATCTACCTTGTCCTCAGAAATGTTTTGGGTGTCATGAAAATAAAGTTCATTTCAACACTTCCCTTTTTTGGCAGAAAGCTCCCTGTTAATCTGAGAAGTCAATATGTAAATATTTATAATGTGCACAGCAGAAAGGGTTTGGTTCCCCGAGGGTTGGAGAAATACATGATAATGTCATGGAGATGTCAAAGGAAAAGTGATACCTGATAAAGTAATTGAAAGGTGAACTCTGAATTTCCTAAAAACTAGGAAAGGAGCAGAGAATTGAAGTAAAGGAAAGGCAGGAGTGTGTAAACAAGGATGGCGTGTTCCTTGACTAGGAAGTATTGTACAGTGTAAAAAAGTGGAAGAAGGGGTACATGGGCTGCCACATGCAGTATGCTGCATTTCATGAACAAATTTCCATGAGTTTTGTAGTAGCTGCTTGAACACTATGCTTGACTGTTGATAGCTGTGGTACCATGTGAGAGTCTGGCTGTGGGCAGGTCTGCCTGGAGCTTGCGGTTGTGAAGAGACACACTTGAGTTTTTTTTGTGGTATCAGGATTGAACTCAGGGCCTTCATTCACACTGAGGTACATCCCTAGCCCTTTTTATTTTTTATTTTGAGACAGAGTCACAGGGTCTTACTAAACATCTGAGTTGACCAGGCTGTGCTTGAACTTGCAATCCTGCCTCAGCCTCGAAGGGTGCTGAAATTACAGGTTTGTGCCACCACGCCCAGTTATTTCCCTTCCTTCCTTCTTCCTTCCTTCCTTCCTTCCTTCCTTCCTTCCTTCCTTCCTTCCTCCCTCCCTCCCTTCCTTCCTCCCTTCCTTCCTCCCTTTCTCCCTTTCCCCTTTCCTTCTTTCCTCCCTCCTTCCCTTCCTTCCTCCTTTCTTTCTGTTTTTCTTAAATATCTTTAATTATCCTTTTTTTTTTTGGTACCAGGAATTGGACCCATGATCTCACACTTTCGAGGCAGGCGCTGTGCCACTGAGCTATGTCCCTGGCAATCCTGAAGGAAACAATGGAGAATGAAACCAGAAAAACTGAACTGGAAACAGAGTACAAAGACCCATCAAACTGTGGCAAAATATTTTAGTGTCTTTGAGGTCCCTGGTTTACATTGAGGAGTTACCAATAGTATAATATTATATGAACTGTATTTGGTAGAATAACTCATGAAACTTCAGAAATAAATAGAAAAGAGTAAAAACAATAGGGGGATTATTATAATAAAAAAAGAAGACCTGAACTTAAACAAGAAAGAAGAGAAAAGTTGACTAGGCAAATATTTTGTGGGTAAAATAAATAGGATTTGATGCTGACCTGTTGAGGAGGGAGACATTTCCTAGAATAGCTCTCATATTTATACTGGTGTTATCTTCTTATTCAGTGGACTAACAGTGGTGCCAAGAATGAGACAGAGAACTCAGGAATTCATGTATGCTTGTATGAGGGGTGGATTTAGTGTTAGAATCATACTGTATAAAATGCCTGCTGAACATCAAAGATGTCCAATGGACATTTAAAGAGTAATTCTGAAGGCGAAGAGGAAGGGAGAGAAGGAGAGAGAGAGAGAGAGAGATACAAGGGGTGATCAAATTATACAGTGAATATTTAAACTTAAAAATATTGATTACAATAAAAGATGCACTGTCATTAACCTGCCTCAAAATAGTCCCCCTTGCTTTGAAAACACTAAGCCTATCAGTTAGCCCATCCACTTATCCTACCCTACACTTTCTGAAGCAGTTCTGGCAGTCCTCTTTTGTGAGTGTCTTTACAAGGTATGATCAAAAATACAGTAAATTCCACTACTGAGTGCCATGCAAAGAAAAGGCAGGTCTGTAAAACCACTACTGTGTGTCCTCATCCACCATTCTAAATGGATCTGGCACCATACAACCTCTGTCTCTTCTCCAAAGTCAAAATGACCATGAAAGGTAAGTGTTTTGGATCAGTTCAGAACATTGAGGCAGCCACAACAGAGCAACTAAAGACACTCATGGAAGAGGACCCCCAGAACTTCTTTAGTGTCATGAACAAGGCAGTTAATGTATTTGAAGCAAGAGGAAGTCTTTTGAGGGGGATTAACAGCAATGTGTCTTTTACTGGAACAAATTTTATTTAAACATTCACCCTACATCTACATTAAACTGTATGTACTTGGGGTCATTAATATTTGTTAACTGTATGTATGTTATCCAAAATGCACATGTCTGGCATTGTTTTGGGTTTCAATTTTTTTCAGATTTTGGAATTTTTTTTACATATATATAATGAAACACCATGAGATTATGGGTCCCAAATTATCAACATGAAATTCACATACATACATAGACTGAAGATAATTTTTTATATTTTTAATAACTGTATGCACAAAACAAAGTTTGCTTCTGGCAGCTGATGGCGCTGAGAGGGCCTTTTTCTCTAGGGGATGCTGAATCAATAATTGCGTGTTGTGTTCCCGTGTTTTGACTTCAAGCCATCATGTGAAGTCAGGTGTGGGATTTTCTGCTTGTGGCATCGTGTCAACACCAAAAAGTTTCAGATTTTGGAACATTTCAGATTTCAGATTTTTGGATAAGGGACTCTTCACGCATTGCTGGTAAGTAATTGTAATTCACATAACAGACAGAGGAAAGAAGCCAGATGGTCATCTAGACAAGTATTACCCGGTGGCTTTACCTTGTAGTGCCACAACAGATCAGCACTTTGCTTCTGGCTTTGGAATACCAGAAAATTTGCTCCTTCATAGATTTTGAAACTCTTCAGAATAAATAATTTCACTATGCTAGGTACTTGCATCTTTTCTTTAAGGGATATCCCCCCTCTCTTAAAAAGCCTCTCTATTGTAAGTAATTTTTTTTTTAATTACACACTAAGCACTGTTTTTTAGGAGGTGCTAAAAATTTTTGCAAAGAAAGAATACAAACCATTTACTGTTTTTCACAACTATTTAAAACAAAACCGGATAAAACTGGACCTATCCTGGATGAACTAAGACTGTGATTCTCCAGTGTAGCTACCGGATTGTCTCTGTGGTGCAGTCAGATCTCAGCAGAACGTACTGTGGAGACCCTGACCTGCACACAAGTGCACCGTCTCCCTCCACTTCCACGAACACTCTCATCAAAAATTCAGTGTTCAGGTCTTCACTTTGCGGGGCTTCCTTCTCCACAGTTGTGCTGGAGTGACCTTAGACCAAGTTGTGAATCAGCTGTGCTCATCTCTTCTCAACTTTCTGTTTGGTTATGTCATGTTGATAGCTTGAAATAGGCCACAGCAGGTGTATGTGCACCACAAGTATCAGCAAGTATGTACTGCAAAGTACAGCCTCCCCTCTTTCCGATCCCTCACCTGTCAAACATTCACCTGCCAAGCCCTCTTTCCCTTGTTTCCCTCCTCCGTCTCTCTTCCCCCTTCTATCTTTCTCTCTCCAAACTCAAACTTGTACCTCTGTGTCCACCGATTTGATCATATATCCTGTCTGGGATCAGTTTTTCTTTGGGCAATATTACTAGCAACTTGATTACAAAGATGTTTTACTCTTTTTGTGTTTGTACCAGGCGAACTTCTGTCTTTTATTAAAGGAGTTCTGCGGGTTTCCTATATTTTTTTTCTGAACGAGGATGAGAGAATTTCTTTTCTATCCATGATTCTCTTTGTCCACTAACTGATGTGATAGGAAATCCTACTCTTTTATCTTGTTTCTCTGCTTTGAACCCACGAGAACCTCCATTTCCGGCAGGGCTTGCTCTGAAGACTTAAACGTTATCTCTTAGGGTCCCAAAACCAAAGTGGAGGAGGGGATCGAAGGCAACAGCATTTGGAAAATGAACACGTTCTGAACACAGCACGGAATGAATTTAAATTTTTAAATATCTTTTAAGTCCATTAAGTTTCACCTACTGAAAAATTAGCTCAAATCCACATCCTCTTTGTAAGCCTTCCCTAAGCCATCTAGTCAAAACCTGGCTCTTCCTTTTCTGCTTTAAAGCGATTGTTGAAATCACTTACCAGCCATGCATCACACACTATTTTAGTTATGCGCACACACATCTTATGCCCTAAGTAGAAATGTATCCAATATTTCCTTCCGTGCCACTTGAAGGTACTGACAGTGGCTGTGTCAAGAGAACTGAAAAACAGGATAGGGAGGGAGACTTTTCATCCCATGTTTCACAGATTTTGTCTCATATGTTATCTTTTTATTTTTTTAATTTTTTGTTTGTTTGTTTTTTTCCAGTACCAGGAATCAAACTCACGACCTTGTACTTGCCAGGTAGGCACTGTACCACTGAGCTAAATCCCCAGCCCCATGTTATCTTTTTAAAAATAAATAATGTGTTAAGAAAATAAACCTGCAAACTAACAAAAATATATAAAATAACACGCCATGATAATTAATCTTTTAATTCTACAAGCTGTATATGATTGATCAGTGGAGAACTACAATTTCATGTCATGCCACAGATTATTAATGCTAGGTAATTTTGTAAATAGGTATGTTCCTGTGTACGCCCCGGGCATTTTTTTGGATTTTTTTTTTAATTCTATAGCTTCAAAAGTATTTGTAGACATTTTAGCCAAGAAAAAGAAAACAAGTTTCTACTTAGAAACCCTATGAGCCTTCAAATTGAGTGAATCCTTTATCACAATGCAAATGCAGACTGTGGTCAACCAAAGGCCTATGATCCGAGTGTGCACAACTGGCAAACGTGGAGCTGCTTGGATTGACTCCCAGCTGAGAGGTGCCCAAGACTTGACTCCTTGTCTTCACTCCTCCCTGGGGAGCACTGAAGTGGGCGTTATTGATCTAAACAAAGTGACAGAGCTGAAGTTTGTGTCTTCGTATTTATTTCCTTGTGTTAATTCTCTTTATATATCTCTTCCCTATCTGTTGTCTTTTCTATAGTTATTTGAAGTTAGCATACCTGTACTTCAAGTAGAAACTTTCTCCAGTCTAGTAAATTGATTTCATATACATTAATCAATTACTCGGTCTTGTACTTTGATGGAAATAGACTCAGTTACAGTTTGCCGAGTAGTATAAAGTTTTTCTACTCTTCTCCTGCAGCTTCCATAAAGCACATGTTCAAGGGCAACTGAAGAATGATGTAGGGCAAGTGGATCTCTCTGCATCTCTAACAGGCCCAGGTAGAATCTGGAAGCAGGAAGGAAAATATAATAAATGAACTATAGACTTAAAATACAAGCTTTTTGTTGTTTTAATTAATTCTGGAATAAAATTTATACGTAGCAAAGCATATGTCTTTTAAAAAATGCATTTTGAGAGAAACATTTGCCCATACCAACTCCACACCCAAAACGAACAGATGACACATATAGCCTGAAGCTAATAAAACTGATGACAGATACATCTATTTAAGTCTATGGACTGTGACTCCCAGACAGCTGGAGAATGCTTTATTGGAACAGTTGTTAAATACAGTAGTTGCCCTTTCCATTTTAACATTGCAGCGATCAGGGAAATCTGTGTCCATGGACAGGCATAAGCTCAGGAAATTAGTTCTGTCCTGTCTCAAAGTGAGACTCCGAAAGGATACCTCAGTGATGTTGGACTATACACGCATCAGCTTCAAAGTGTACCTGGGGGACAATAGCTCTCAGACTATCCAATTCTCTTCAAATCTGTCTGTAAATCTGCAGTAAGTATTGATTTACAAGGAAAAAAAATAGCATATAAAAACTAAATCTCTTTTGCCTTAATGAATATTAAATTCAACAATTTTGACTTCACATTAAGGTTTGAGGCTTACAAGATAAGCAAGACCTCTGGATAATGGGTAGATATTTGTAGAAAGAATAAGGAAAAAAAGCAAGAGTGCCAGAACTTAGGCGTAATTTATCGCGATGGTTTACTCTGTAGACACTTCACCATTGGTTCATGTGACTCCATGAAAGTCCTGCTTCAGGGGAATCCTCTCAGTCCTTGGCAAATCAAGAAAGCCAGTCTCCCTAAATCATACCTCAAAGACCCCAAGTAGTTCCTTTTTCTTTTTTGAAGCCAAGAGTCTATTTTCATTTTATCACTGGCATTACATTACTGGGTTTTCTGTATGCATGGCATTCCCTTCTAATCATTTGAGGTCATTGTAATTAGAACCCTACTTTACAGTGAAAAAACTGACCGTTTAACTGGTCACAGGTCTCACAACTAAGGCAGATTCCAGAGGCCACATCCTTAAGGACTTTGCACTAGGGCCTAGAAATGAATTAAATAAATCATCATTGTATTCATTAGTGTGCCTGCTTTCCTTTATTGGCAAAACAAATCCAATAGGCTGTGACTTCTGCTGTTAGAGGGAAGCGTTATTTCTCACACTCACAGAATACTTTAGCATGAACTTGCATCCTAAAGAACTTGACTGTACGTAAACTAGCATTTTATGTTACATGACCCATTGTGAAATTGTAATAAACAGCATTTTTAGCTATTTTACAAAGCAAGAAAGAAGATTATTAGAAATATATAATTTAAGGTTAATCTTTAGTCTTTGTTTATTTTAGGAGCTGGGGCTCTGGGAGGCAAAATATTCCTGTGAGGGCATTGCCATGGGCTCTAGGTTTCAGCTGGATTTGTGCAGGATATTGCCGTGGGATCCATATCGTCAGCTGGATTCTTTGGGTCTCTAGTGTGTGGACAGATCTGCACTCTTCTGCATTTGACTCTCTGGGTGAATATTATAAAATAATCCTATAAATTATGTGTCCTGTATTAAATCTATTCCCCTGTAAACCATGATTACAACAGTCCCCTAGCTCAAATCTTCTTGCCTTTGCTGGGATAAATGACCATTATCCTTTTGCCTTAAATGTTTTTTTTTTATGCACATGCTGAGTGCATTTTTGACCCTATATGTCTTCCTGTGACAATCTGTTTAATGTTGACGTGTCGCATTAGACTGAGTCAGAAGTGTTGAGTCCAAAGTGAAAAATATAGCTGTTGAGAATTAAGGCAAAAAGGAATTTTAAGAAGTGAAAGCCAACACAATAAAATGGGATTAATGCAACTAACAATTATTGTTGCAATTAACATTTATTGGATTCTTACTGCACACTAAATACTGTACAAAATGCTTCATAAAAATTTAATCCTCATAATATTTGGCAACAGGAGTTATTATTGACTATAATTTTACATTGAGGAAATGAATCTCTGAAAGGTTAAGCAACTTTATTGTGCCGCCAACGGGTAGTGGAACTGAGCTGGTAATACTCATACCACACACTCGCAGAGCTTAGTACTTCCCTTATCATGAGACTCCCCAAATCTCTTTGCAAGTACTGTTTCCCATTCTGTGAAGGCAGAGTCAGTGTCTGTCATATTTAAGATTTTGAGCTTAGAACCAAACTAAATACCCGGCCTCCAACAGTAGTAACCCAACTATGTTTGTCAACATCCTTAAGTTGAGGGGTCAGTAAACTTAAAAATGAGAGAGAACAAAATAGCAGCTTGCTCACATTCTTCAAGGATTACAGCACAGATGCCTGTTCTCTGACATGCATAACCTCACTTGGCTTTTCAGAGAGGTTGCAGCTATAATGCCCACAGAATGATACATACACTTGGCATGAAGGAAGCAAGCCTCTGGAAGGAGAGCAGCTAAGTGCTCTTTATTGTTGGAGGCTGCATAACTCTGACCAAATCTAGAAATGACAGCTAGAGATCATGAATTAACACTTCCTAGGAGTGAGGCTGACCTTGACTGGAGGACAGCTTTCAATGAACTGTCATTGGGGTGGGGTTGTTTGCTCCGCCTTCTTTATTCCTCTGCATGCTGGCCCCAACCCACCTGAGAACAAAGGATTTGCTGGGGCTGCCTTAGGGCGTACTGGTCCCACCCTTCCACCCTTTTTTTGTGACAGAACACAGCCTTCATTGCTTGATAATTTATTGGCACAAAGTCAGCTTAAAAGCAGGAGAGGACTAGCAGTTCAATCAGGTTAATATACTCAGCAACACTTCATATGTGTACTCAAGTGCAAATTGGCACTGAGGACTTTCTGTACACACCATTCATACATAGGTTTGTCTGCAAGAAGGTTAAATAGGAGATGACGGTGGGTGATTGGATGGGTAGATTTAAGTGGCAGCAACAGGCATAGAAGTAAAGGCATTCACCAAGGAAACAATAAATCATCATACAATTTCACAACCTTTCAAATATACTTTTAAAGTAGGAGAAAAGAATACTACATGTTTGAAGCCTACACATGATAAATTTGCAGTTTTATTTTTTAAATTCTGTATTGGGAAGCAGCAAATTTTAGTCAGTATGATGATGGGTTTAGTTTTATGTATAAATTAGCATATGGCAAGAGATCTAAGACAACAACTGGAATTAGAACCTTAGATGGTTCACATCAGCACTGAAGGGCAGGGGGTGGGGACTATGAACACCGACACAGTGATTGACCCCATCATTATAGATAAGTCTGGGAAAAGAGAAAAGCAAGAAGCTCAGTGAGGGTTAGTAATACCAGCAAAACACCAACAGGGATAAAGTATAATTCAGTGCTGGCGACAAAGTTTCTTATTTAAAATGACAGACGTCAAATGATGAAGGAGTTCAAGCAGGGCAATAGTTACACTTGTTTCTTACGACAAAGGAATCATGAGGGAGAAGATTAGAAGGACATCTGAATTCCACTAGGAAGAAAAATCCCTGATATGCAGAATTTGGGCACATGGACAGCAGCCAAAAAGCTGACTAAGCCGTGAGAGGTAAAGTTGAGGGGGGTGGTGAGCATGCACTACTGATTTAAGGATGTTGGGGATATAAAAAAGGAAAGAAATATAATGGTGGGAAATGTTAAGGGCACTAGGTTAACAAAATAACAAAGGTAGTGATATAATAAAGAAGAATCTAATCTTCCTGAGTTCTAAACTCCTCCCTCATAGCAAATTAATAGCTTTGGGAAGCTCATTAACCCTGGGAGGGCACCAGCGTATTGTTCCAAGCACTGTAGCTGCAGCCTGGATAAAGCATAGAGGCTATTATTCACAGACTTAGGAAAAGCACTTCCTGCCACATCGGAGAGACTCCCTAGGAAATAAAGATACTATTATAAGAGACAGAAGCAGCAGTGTCTGCTTTCTAGGGGATTCTGTGATTAAAAACAACTGCCAGATCCTTTAGCAAAAAGTTAATCTGCCAATTTCAAATTTTAAGCCACTGGGCAATTCTTGTACCATCTTTGTGTCTCAGTTTCTCCATTTCTAAACTACTTAGGAGTTGATGATCTGTTAGGAAACTTTTATCCCTCAAACGCTGAGTTCTCTGATTCTTTCCTTCTGAAATTAGCACCTGTGGAGCAAGGAAACATAACCACGATTCAAAATGCTACGAATGATATAAGTGAGAACTGTATTTCCCTTCATGTTCTACCTTTCGGTTTAAAAAAATGCAACTTCTGAATGCTAAAACTGCATATGTACCCGAGGAATGCTAACAGTATGACAATGTCTACAGAGTAATCCCTTACTGGCTTATCTTCTAGCTCCTAGGATTCTTGTAAATGTAATTAATATTGGCAACAATATCAGAAAATTAATAACAAAATTCACCATAATAATGTTACTTCCTTTGGCTTAATTAACTTTTTTTTTTTTTTCAGTACCAGGGATCAAACTCACAACCTTGCACTTGCCAGGCAGGCGCTTATGCCACTGAGTTATATCCCCAGCTCCTGGCTTAATTAACTTTTAAAAACAGGATGTATAGTATGGAAATGGTATTTCTCATCTGTAGACCTCTGACTTTCAGATTTACTTGGAAGGGTGTGAGAATTCTACTGCCCTCTAGTACCCCATA